TCATCAAGAGGACACCTTATTTATTTATTTATTATTATTATTATTATTATTTTTTTTTTTTTTGAGACGGAGTCTGGCTCTGTCACCCAGGCTGGAGTGCAGTGGCGCGATCTCGGCTCACTGCAAGCTCCGCCTCCCGGGTTTACGCCATTCTCCTGCCTCAGCCTCCCGAGTAGCTGGGACTACAGGCGCCCGCCACCTCACCCGGCTAGTTTTTTGTATTTTTTATTAGAGACGGGGTTTCACCGTGTTAGCCAGGATGGTCTCGATCTCCTGACCTCGTGATCCGCCCGTCTCGGCCTCCCAAAGTGCTGGGATTACAGGCTTGAGCCACTGCGCCCGGCCCTTTATTTATTTTTGAGACAGAGCCTCGGTCTGTCACCCAGGCTTGAATGCAGTGTCGGGATCTCGGCTCACTGCAACTTCCGCCTACTGGGTTCAAGTGATTCTCCTTCCTCAGTCCCCTGAGTACCTGGGACTACAAGTGACTGCCACCACACCCGCCTAGTTTTTGTATATTTAGTAGAGACAGGCTTTCACCATATTGGCCAGGCTGGTCTTGAACTCCTGACCTCAAGTGATCTGCCTGCCTTGGTCTCCCAAAGTCCTGGGATTACAGGTGTGAGCCACCATGCCTGGCCAGGAAGGGAGCATTTTTTTATTTTAAAACTGTTATCGCCAGGTGTGGTGGCTCACGCCTGTAATCCCAACACTTTGGGAGGCCGAGGTGGGTGGATCATGAGGTCAGGAGATCGAGACCATTCTGGCTAACATGGTGAAACCCCGTCTCTACTAAAAAAAAAGTACAAAAAATTAGCTGGGCGTGGTGGCAGGCGCCTGTAGTCCCAGTTACTCGGGAGGCTGAGGCGGGAGGATGGTGTGAACCTGGGAGGCGGAGGTTGGCAGTGAGCTGAGATCATGCCACTCCAGCCTGTGCGACAGAGCTAGACTCTGTCTCAAAAAAAAAAAAATCTGTTATTAAAAACAGGAGACTGTCAGAATCTGAATTGCTTTATGGTGCAATGTAGCTATGATAACACGTACGAATCTCACATGACCAACTCAACGTGCTGGACACACACACTTGTATACCATCCCCAGGTCATGACATGGAACATTTCTTTTATTTATTTATTTATTTATTTATTTATTTATTCCTCGCTCTGTTGCCCAGGCTAGAGTGCAGTGGTGTGATCTCAGCTCACTGCAACCTCCACCTCCTGGGTTCAAGCTATTCTCCTGCCTCAGCCTCCTGAATAGCTGGGATTACAGGCATGCGCCACCACATCCGGCTAATTTTTGTATTTTTAATAGAGACAGGGTTTCGCCATGTTGCCCAGGCTGGTTTCAAACTCCCGAGGTCAGGCAATCTGCCCACCTCGGCCTCCCAAAGTGCTGAGATTAAAGGCGACAGCCACCGCGCCCGGCCGATATGGAATATTTCTTTCGCCCCACAGGACTTCTTCATGCCCCTTCCTGGTCAATACTTCCCCCTACCCTATCGAGTAGGCAATATTTTTATTTCTATCTCCATAGATTAACTTAGCCTGTTCTTGAACTTTTTCTTCTTCTTTCTTTCTTTCTTTTTTTTTTTCTGAGATGGAGTCTTACTCTATCGCCCAGGCTGGAGTGCAGTGGCACAATCTCGGCTCACTGCAACCTCTGGCTCCCAGGTTCAAGCAATTCTCTGCCTCAGCCTCCCGAGTAGCTGGGATTACATGGGTGCCCGCCACCATGCCCAGCTAACTTTTGTATTTTTTAGTAGAGATGGGGTTTCACCATCTTGGCCAGGCTGGTCTTGTACTCCTGACCCCGTGATCTACAGGTCTCGGCCTCCCAAAGTGTTGGGAATTACAGGTATGAGTCACCCTGCTCACTCTTTTTTTTTTTTTTTTTTTTTTGAGGTGGAGTTTCACTCTTGTTGCCCAGGCTGGAGTTCAGTGGTGTGATCTCAGCTCACCGCAACCTCTGCCTCCTGGGTTCAAGCGGTTCTCCTGCCTCAGCCTCCTGAGTGGCTGGGATTACAGGCATGTGCCACCACGCCCGGCTAATTTTATATTTTCAGTAGAGTTTCTCCATGCTGGTCAGGCTGGTCTCGAACTCCTGACCTCAGGTGATCCGCCCACCTCGGCCTCCCAAAGTGCTGGAATTACAGGTGTGAGCCACCACGCCCGACCTCTTTTTAATTTTTTTTTAGAGACAAGGTCTCCCTATGTTGCCTGAGTTGGTCTCAAACTCCTGGACTCAAGTGATTCTTCTGCCTCAACCTCCCAAAGTGCTGGGATTAGAGGCACAAGACACCATGCTCAGCTACATTTTTTAGTTTTTGTAGAGATGGGGGTCTCACTATGTTGGCCAGACTGGTCTTGAACTCCTGGGCTTAAGAGATCCTCCTACTTCAGGCCCCCAAAGTGCTCAAATTAGAGGTGTGAGCCAACATGCCCAGCCTGTGTCTGGCTTCCTTTAATTAACATTAAGTCTGTGAGATTCATTCATGCACGTATTAATAATTTGTTCTTTTTTCTTGCTGTATAGTATTCCACCATAAGAATATGCCCCAGTGTATTTGTCCATTCATGTGTTGAAGGACGCTGGGGTTTTTTTTGTTTTTTTTTGTTTTTTTCCTTCCCTCCCTTCCTTCCTTCCTTCCTTCCTTCCTTCCTTCCTTCCTTCCTTCCTTCCTTCCTTCCTTCCTTCCTTCCTTCCTCCCTCCCTCCCTCCCTCCCTCCTTCTCTCTCTCTTTCTTTTTTTTTTGGAAACATTTTTTGAAACAGGGTCTCACTCTGTTGCTCAGGCTGCAGTGCAGTGGTGCCATCACAGCTCACTGCAGCCTCATTAATTTTTTTTTTTTTTTTTTTTTTTTTTTTGTAGAGACAGGGTCTCACTATGTTGCCCAAGCTGGTCTTGAACTCCTGGGCTCAAGCGATCCTCCTGCCTCAGCCTCCCAAAGTGCTAGGATTATGGGCTTGAGCCACCATGCCCAGCGTGATTGTTGCTTTTGAAAGAACACCCTGGCTGCCATGTGGAAATCACACTGGTGGCAGGTAGGGATGGATCGGAGAGAGGAAGCTGACAGACCACGTAGGAGGCTGGGAACATATGAAGGTGGTTTGGACTAGTGTGGTCACAGGGGAGTCACAGAGAAGTGGATCACTCAGAAAATGCTCTGGAATTGTAGCTGATGGGACTGGCTGAGATGAATGAGGGGTGGGAGAAAGAGGCACCAATGATGAGTCCTATATTTTTGCCTTGAAAACTTGGGTGCGTGGGCTGGGCGCGGTGGCTCACGCCTGTAATCCCAGCACTTTAGGAGGCTGAGGCAGGCGGATCACCTGAGGTTGGGAGTTCAAGACCAGCCTGACCAACATGGAGAAACCCCGTCTCTACGAAAAATACAAAATTAGCTGGGTGTGGTGGCCTGTAATCCCAGCTGCTAGGGAGGCTGAGGCAGGAGAATTGCTTGAACTCAGGAGGCGGAGGTTGTGGTGAGCCGGAGAGCACGCCATTGCACTCCAGCCTGGGCAACAAGAGCAAAACTCCATCTCAAAAAAAAAAAAAAGAAAAGAAAACTTTGGCGGGTGGCTGGGCAGTGGCGCACACCTGTAATCCCAGCACTTTGGGAGGCCAAGGTGGGTGGATCACTTGAGGTTAGGAGTTTGAGATCAGCCTGGCCAACATGGTGAAACGTCGTCTCCATTAAAAATACAAAAATTGGCCGGGCGCGGTGGCTCAAGCCTGTAATCCCAGCACTTTGGGAGGCCGAGGCGGGCGGATCACAAGGTCAGGAGATCGAGACCACAGTGAAACCCCGTCTCTACTAAAAATACAAAAAATTAGCCGGGCGCGGTGGCGGGCGCCTGTAGTCCCAGCTACTCAGGAGGCTGAGGCAGGAGAATGGCGGGAACCCGGGAGGCGGAGCTTGCAGTGAGCCGAGATCGCGCCACTGCACTCCAGCCTGGGCAACAGCGTGAGACTCCGTCTCAAAAAAAAAAAAAAAAAACAAAAAACAAAAAACAAAAATTAGCCGGGTGTGGTGGCCTGTGCCTGTAATCCCAGCTACTCAGGAGGCGGAGGCAGGAGGATCACTTGAACCTGGGAGGCAGAGGTTGCAGTGAGCCAAGATTGCACTCCAGCTTTGGCAACAGAGCGAGAAAACCTGGGTGGATGAGAGGACCATTTTTCTGAGATGCAGAAGATTGAGGCAGAAACAGATGTGAATGCGGAAGATTGAGGGCCCAGGCATAGCTATTTGAGTGTATGATGTCTTCTGGAACTCAGGCTATCATTTGAGCCTAACGCTAGGCTCTCTGCGCCCTATACTCTTAGTAGTACTGGTAAATATTGGTTGTGTGAACAGTGCATGCTGTCTGCAGGGACAGACCTGGGTTAGGGGGCCAGTGCCCTCACTAGTAATTATTCTGGGACTGTTCTGCCTCCATCTTCTACCTCACAGGATTAGAATTAAACGTGATCTATTTATGCCACCTGGAACATGTATGAACTAAAACATCCCCTCTTCTGAGTTCCAGGCATTATGTGACATGTCGTGAGGTTGGCCTCTTTTCCTCTCACCCACATTTTCTTTCTTTCTTTTTTTTTTTTTTTTTAGGCAGAGCCTTGCTCTGTTGCCCAGGCTGGAGTGCTATTGAGCCTTGCAACCTCCGCCTCCTGAGTTCAAGCTAGTCTCCTGCCTCAGCCTCCCAAGTAGCTGGGATTACAGGAGTGCACCACCACACCTGGCTAATTTTTGTATTTTTAGTAGAGACAGCGTTTCACCATGTTGGCCAGGCTGGTCTCGAACTCCTGACCTCAGGTGATCTGCCCGCCTCGGCCTCCCAAAGTGCTGGGATTACAAGCAAGCATGAGCCACTGTACCCAGCCACCCACATTTTCAAAGTCTCTCCAAAACAGCCCTGCTCCTGGCAGCACTGGGGGGTCATCCCCTCTCCCCTCCCTCAGCCCTTCCACAGCCTCAAAGAAAACAGAATGGAGAATAGCAGACAGGTTGATTCATAGACTTTATCGGCTTCTTTTCCACCCAGCAGTTTCTGCAATGACAACCGCGCCTGTACAATACACATGGTTCACTCTGTTAAAGCTGCAGGGCAAGGGGAGGGGGCTGGGGGGTCCCTGGGCAGGCATCAAGGTTAGGGGTGAGCAGCAGCAAAGACTGGGCCAGTGTGTCCCAGTATTCGACCCAGAGGGTGGTAGCAGCTGGAGTTCCAAGGCTGCTGGAAGGGGTCAGGAGGAAGGCTGGGAAGCTGGGGGCCGCAGGGAGAGGAGAGTGCATCAGCAGTAGCAGGGAGGGGGCAGGGAACAGGAGGGGGCCCATGGGACACTGTCAGGGCAAGAGGGCATGGGGCACAGCGCCTGCCTATGTTCATAGAGGATTTTTGCCACAGGAACAAGACAGATCACTGTATAAAAGGGTCTGTACAACATTACCTATGATACAATGTTCACATATGATACAAGGCTCTTTCCCTCTTTGAGTTTTAAAAAATAAATGTACAATTCCAGAACTTTGGGTAAAAAATATATACACCCTCATAGCAGGAACAGCAGCTGCTTTTGCTACTGCTATTGCTGCCTCTTCAAAAGGGAAAGAGGTGGTGCCAGAAAGAAGGGTGAGGCTGTGCCAGGAAACCTCACCCAGTAGCTGCCAGGAGCCCCTGCACCCCTCAGGCCTTGAGGCTGGTGATGGGAGGGAGGGGAGCAGAGGTAATAAAGGCCTTGCCAGAGTCCGGTGGCGCCTTTACAGTCTCCGCCATCCCCCTCCCCCACTTTGGGGCTGCCTGCCCCAGGTATAGGGATCCACCCCACCCCAGCTCTATGGGGAGGACAAAGGAGGAGTCAAGACAGGGAGAGGGAGGCCGGGCGCGGTGGCTCAAGCCTGTAATCCCAGCACTTTGGGAGGCCGAGACGGGCGGATCACGAGGTCAGGAGTTCGAGACCATCCTGGCTAACACGGTGAAACCCCGTCTCTACTAAAAAATACAAAAAACTAGCTGGGTGAGGTGGCAGGCGCCTGTAGTCCCAGCTACTCGGGAGGCTGAGGCAGGAGAATGGCGTAAAAACCCGGGAGGCGGAGCTTGCAGTGAGCTGAGATCCGGCCACTGCACTCCAGCCTGGGCGACACAGCGAGACTCCGTCTCAAAAAAAAAAAAAAAAAAAAAAGACAGGGAGAGGGACAGAGACCATGTTGTTGGTGTCAGACACATGAGTCAGAAGGGGGATGCCAACTCCCTCCTTAGCAATTAGATACCCCAAAAAGCAGGAATGTGGGCAGCAGACACCCCTAGCTCCTGATACTGCTCTACCCCAGCCCACTGCAAGGCAGGGGGAGGGTCCTCTAGGCAGCTGAGGCCTGTGTTTCCCTGAGCATCTTTTACCCTCTCATCAGAGTCCATTCCCGGACCTTCCAGAGGCCTGAGTGGGGGACTTGCAAGGGCTGATGGGTAACCCCTCCTACCTGCTGCCACTCCCTGCCCTGAAAAGCAGCTTGGCTCACCAGCCTGGGCATGCAGGGCAGCATGAGGAGCTGAGCAGGGAGTGTGGGGGTGGAGAAAGCACCCCGTACCATCCAGGGGCAGAGTAGACAAGGGTAGCACCAAACAGAAGGACCCCTCCCCAGTACACCCAACATCCGCCCTCAATTACCAGATGCACTCCTGCTCCCTAAAAGGAGACATACACACACACACACACAGAGCAACATAATATTCCTTGGGGTCCCAGCCCTGACCAGGAAGAAGCTGGACAGGTGGTGGAGAAGGCTGCCAATCCCTCCCACAATCCCACTCTGCAAGGCAGAAGGGTGGGCGGCATTCTTTCCTGCTGGGAAGAGGAAGTTGGAAGCTCCATCCCCAGAACAGATCTCGATGGGAGGGATAGAGGAAGGAGCTTTCTGCCCTCTTTCTCAGAGGGGACAGGAACCAGCAAAGTGTAGTTTTGGCTTGAAGGAGCAATGGGGAGAGGACTTCAGCAGGATGAACAGACTTATGGGTCCAGGGGTAAATCCATCCAACTCTTTCCCGTGGAGCAGGAAGTTGCTCCATGGGAAAGATGTCAGATGTTGGTTGAGACATCGTGCAAAGTGCTTGAGTGCCAGGTGCCCAAGGATCTGGCGGGTCTGACTGGAGCCTCCACTCTCACTGACTATTCGCCTCCAGCTTGTAGGAGAGCTCGAAGAGGAGGTTCTGGTTGTCGATGACCTGAAACTGGCGCACGTAGGCCTTGGTCTGCAGGTGATGGGGGGATGCCTCCATGTCCAAGCCTAGTGGGTAAAGAGGGAGAGGCAGTCAGGTTCCCAGCCTCCCTTTTTCCTCTACACACACACCGGGCAGAGGATCAGGCTGTGGAATGAGACAGATGTTGGGCAAGAAGGCCTCTGCAGAGGCAAGGACAGAATGGGGAACCAGCAAGTGTATGGAAATACACATTTGGACAGGGAGTTCTGCCCTGAACCCTCCCATTCAGTCAAAGCTCTACCTGTACTGCTTTCAGTACCCTGGGTACTCACAAAGGGGCCGGCTCCGGTATTTGCGGATTGTTCTCACTTTTTCGGCCACTGAATGCTGGGAGATGACAAGGAATGAGCCCTGAAAGGGGCAGAGAAAGAGGCTCCCCCTCTTATGCTCCCCCTCCGCCATTCTCCAACTCTGCTTTACTCCCTCCAGTCTCCAATTCTGGAGGGTCTCTGAAGGACCAAAGGAGTGGGTGTAACAGAGTGCCAGGTGAGGGGGAGGTGGAGTTGCCCCCAAGCTGCCTGTCAGCTCTGCCACCCGTGGGTGGGTTGCCACAGTGATGCCACCAGGGAGACAGTCAAGAGTCTGTTAGGCAAGCTGGGCACTTGGAGGAAGGCTGCTATTTTTGGGAGGTGATGAGAGAGGGAGAGGATGCAAGCCCCTCACTTGTGGGACTAGAGGTTTGCAGTGCCACTCACTCACCAGCTTCTCAATGTTCACCAAACCATCTACAAGGGTCTTACTCCCTTCGTGCAGAAAAGTCAGATCTAGGGGATGTGGAGAGAATCCAATGTGAGGAAAGGATAAGAGAGGAGGTCCAAAGGGGCCCCTGCACCTGAGGACCCCGCTCTTCCCCAGAACCCACTGTGTCTGGGGTGGGGGGCTCCTCTCCAGGCGGATACTCAGGGCTGAGTCGAGAGGGGGCTGGAAGTCTGAAGCGGGATATAGGAGAAGGGAAGCATGGGTGGAAGCAGCACAGCTTGGGAGTTACTCTCTCACCTTTGAGGATCAGAGGCACAAAGGGAATCACAGGGGGCTTCATTTTGGAGATCACTTCTCGGTAGCTTTTGTGGTTCCTGCAGGGGTCCTAGTATTCCACAGGAGAGAGATCAAGGGACAGACTGGCCAATGCATCCCAAAGATGTCCCCAGCTTCCTCCCTTACCCCCTGCCCTGTATACATTCCTCATCAGATAGGGGTACTGGGGGTTTTCTAATGGTGTGGTAGGGAGGGGCCTGACTACTCCCCCTTTACTTCAAGAAACACAGGGCGCAATCCTTCCACCCTCCCCCTCCAGCATGGTAAGGAGGGTGGGGGTCGCACACACACCCTAAACACCTTGAAAGGAAAGCTCGAGGAAGGGGGTTTATGGGAACAGAGGGTTTCTGGGCTCTAAGTCCAAGAGCAGAAGAAAGAGCCAAACCCACTCACCGTCAGGTTCTCAAATTTGCGGAACAAGTTCTTGAATTTCCCTGGCAGCTTCTGCAGAGTTTGAAGGAAGGAGAAGGGATATCAGAGTGGAGCTCCTTGGGTTACATGGGAGCCTCGGATTAATTATCCCTGTTGGAGGGCAAAAGGGCCTGCATGGCTTGTAAGGGGCTGGGAAGCTGGTGGGTGGGGAAATGAAGTCAGGCCTTGGCTAAGTCTAGAACCTTGAAACAGCCCAGAGGAATTCATTATTCTGGGGAAGGCCAGGTCTCTCTTATGTAGGTGCTTTGTACAAAGATGGCCCCACTGACTATGGCTGAAAATCAGCCCAACTCCCACAGCCAAGTCTGCGACCTGACCTGGCCAAGGGCTGCCTGCTGCGACTCAGGCGGGATCCTGGCTTTTCACTCATTTGCACAAAGACAGGGTCCATTAGCCAAGCTGTGCGCCCTGGGGTTGCGTATGCCAGAAGAGGGCGCCTCTCTCCAATTGGCACAAAGACTCCCACCAGGCCAGCGGCCATCCCGAGAGGACGCAATTCGGGGAGCCCGGGATGCCCAGATCCCCAGGTAGGAACGGAGGGGTCTCATCACCTCCCAGGTGAGTCGAAGGCGACTGACAGCAGCGTTGTCCAGCCCCATGACCACGGCGTAGAAAGACAGCAGGTCCTGGTTCTGCTTGCAGCTGCGGGGGTGGGAGGCGGGGTCAGGGGCGGGCGGCGGCGCGGGCCTCGGGCCTGGGCTCCCCCTCCCGCCGACAGCCGCACTCACAGGGCCGCGATCTTGATGAACTTCTTGAGCAGCTGCGCGCGCTTGCCCGGGGCCTCGCAGAGCAGCACTTCGGTGGCCACCCAGTGCGTGACCTCGCTGCAGCGCTGCAGCAGCAGCTCCAGGTTGGCCGTCTCCCGGCGGCCACGCTCCCCGTGGAACACGTAGTCCACGAACTCCAGCTGCACCCACGGCAACGGAGAGGCGGCCAGGGCGCCCGGCAGTGAGGGGAGTGGGTGGGAAGATGGCAGTGCAAGGCGATGAGGAGCGAAAGGCAGGAGGGCGGGGGCGGAAGGGGTGGAAAATAGAAAAATAGAAGGGACAGGAGGCGGCAAAGATGCGGAAAAAGAAAACAACCCACATTAATAATATTTCACCAGCTACTGAGCACTTACTAGGTGCCAGGCAAGCGCTCACGGCTGACATCCTCAAGACAACCATCTGCTAGGCATTATTGTCTCTGCCTTATTTTATTTCTTTAATAGTGAATATTTTAAAAACACAAATCCTGGGTCAGGTTCTGTGTAAGCAGCACTTGGGCCCTGAGCCACTCTGCTCTGAGGTCTCTCTCTCTCTGCGATTTTTTTCAGATGGGGGAACAAAGAGAGGTTATGCGTTGCCCAAGGGCTTGCTGCAAGTGAGCCTTGAACCAGGACGTTGTGCTGCGAACACCGTCTCCCAATGGCACATTTCTCCCTCCAGCCCCCCAGCACAGCGCCAGCCTCGGTCCCCACCTCGTGCACACATCGGAACAGCTCCCAGTGGAAAGCAGTTAGGTGGTTGGCAACGTCCTCAGGCTCCACTCGGTGGATCTCCGTGTCTCCAGGGGAGACCTGGATCTCCTCGGGGAGGGGCACCTGGTGGCAGGCAGGGGTATAGGAGCTGGGCTCCTGGTGGCAGGATGAGAGATTGCTCACAGCCCCCCTCAGCCCCTCCATTCCAGCCAAGGCCTTGGGAAGTTCTTACCAGAGCCTCATAGCTGTCCCGAGTACAGGCAAACAGGTGGCTGTTGATGCCCAGTGTGGTGAAAACACAGTCCTCAGTGGGCTGGAGAAGGACCTTCTCTGCAGGAGAAAGAGCTGCTCATCCTCAGCCCCTGCTGCCTGGACCCTCACACACACCCCACACTTGGCTCTGTCCTATCCAAAAACTCCTCACCCCACACTGACACATTATAGACGAATGGAACTCATATTATCACCAGTTTATGCCATATTTATCTGGAATTGGTCAAATGATGATTTCTTTTGCATTTATAACTTTTTTCTATTCCCTTTCTTTCACAGCTTTTCTCTTACTCTGTTGTCCTTGTGACACCGGGAAGGCTGAAATGTTTTCCTACCGTAGAGGAAAACAAAGCTTCAGCGACATTGCTGGCTTTCTGCCTTCCCACTCATCCTGTGTCTTTAGCCTGAGAAATGTGGCATCCTTACATACACCGGGAGGTTAAAGGACCAGAACACAATCCATAGGTGAGTGATGGGCAGCACCTAGGTCAGAACCTGAGTCCTAGACCAGGGCATCCCAAACTTTTTTTTTTTTTGAGACAGGGTTTTGCTCTTGTTGCCCAGACTGGAGCACAGTGTCACGATCTCGGCTCACTGCAACCTCCGCCTCCTGGGTTTGAGTGATTCTCCTGCCTCAGCCTCCCAAGTAGCTGGGATTACAGGTGCACACTACCATGCCCAGCTAGTGCCTCCCAAACTGTAGTAGGCACAGGAGTCTCCTAGGGGTCTTGTTCAAATGCTGATTTGAACAAGACCAGCAGGTCTGGGGTGGGGTCTCATATGCTGCATCTCTTTTAGAGACAGAGTCTTGTTATGTTGCCCAGGATGGAGCACAGTGCCTATTCACAGGTGCAATCATAATGTACTACCTTGGATTCCTGGGCTCAAGCAATCCTCCTGAGTAGCCGGGACTGCAGGTTTGCACCACTGCACCTAGCAAGATGTTGCATCCTAACAAGCTCTCAGGTGATGCACCTGAGGCTTGTCCCAGGACCATATTTTGAGTAGCAAGGGCCTAGAATTCAGTCTCTTCCCCTCCCACAGGGCACTGAGCTTGTGAGTTTCTCCTCTCGGAGCATCAGCCCAGTTCTTCCTGACCCTCACCTCCTGAGGAGGCCACAGCTACCAGGATGAGGGAATCCTCACGCCCCGCGGGCTCCTCTGAATATTGAAGTTTCTCCGTCACAGAACCCAGAATGTCCTGCACAGATGCTGAAAGGCGGCTGCGTATGGTCACGTAAGAGTGGTCAGGCATGTATACGCGGCAGAAGACTGGACGGAAACAGGAAAATGGCTTTCAACAGAGGGCGGAGTGGCAGCAGCTGGAACAGTTTCCTCCAGGGTGCCACTGTTCCCCACCTCTGAAGAAGGTCCTGTGAAAGGGGCTGGTTCTACCACCCAGATACCACTGAGGGTGCCCAAGACCCAGAGACATGTCCGCCTGAACCACTCAGGACACCCTGCCCCTCCTAATGCCCACACTCACTCTCATCAGAGCCCCGGAAGGCCACGCGGGTCTGCAGACAGGAGTCTATCCGGCGGAAGTGGCGGAAGAGTGGCTTCACCTGCTTGCTGGGTGGCTGACTCTCCTCTGGAATCCTGGCATGGACACAGCTGGGCATCAGCACGCCCTGCCAGGCATATGGACAACCAACACCAAGCAGGCAACATCAAGCAAGAATATCAGAATTGGGTCAAGGATGTACCAGCAACAGTTTCAGAAGGTGGTTAAGGGGGTCAGAAGAGAGGACAATGAGCAGGATGGGATAATTGTCCAAGTAATCCTAATCAAATGCCACCTTTTCCATGAATTCTTCTCTGGTCCACCCCACCCACCAGGAAGGTCACTTTCTTGTCTCAACTACTATAGAACATTGGGATAATGTTTATGTTCACCTCTTATCTCTTCTATGAGATTGAGAGCTTTTGAGGACTGGGATTTGGTTCCTACTGAATATTTTTTCATCCTCCAGGGCCTAGCACACTGCTTGGCACATGGTAGGTAGTAGGTCATCAGCCATTTGCTGAATTTTGCTGAAAATAACTTCACAGTCTGGGAAGGAGATAGACAGGCATCCAGCTACTTCTAAAGCCAGGCAGGAGGCGTTGATGATGTAACAAAGGCACCAGGAGGGTTCTGCTGGTGTGGGGAAGGAGAAAGCTATTCCTAAAAGGAAGATCTAGGAAGTTTTCATCAAGAAGATAGCATTTGACCTGGGCCTTGGAGGAGAGCAGGAAGAGAAGGAGGTGGAGGCCAGGTGCAGTGGCTCACGCCTATAATCCCAGCACTTTGGGAGGGATTGGGAGGCCGAGGTGGGCAGATCACTTGAGGCCAGGAGTTCAAGACCAGCCTGGCCAACATGGTGAAACCCCGTCTCTACTAAAAATATATAAATTAGCCAGGGCTTGGTGGTGTGCACCTGTAATCCCAGCTACTTGGGAGGCTGAGGCAGAAGAATCGCTTGAACCCGGGAGGCGGAGGTTGCAGTGAGCCGAGATCACACCATTGCACTCCAGCCTGGTGACAGAGCAAGACTCCACCTCAAAAAAAAAAAAAAAAAAAAAATGTCTGGGTGCAGAGGCTCACGCCTGTAATCCCAGCACTTTGGGAGGCCAAGGCGGGTGGATCATGAGGTCAGGAGATCTAGACCACCCCAGCTAACACGGTGAAACCCCATCTCTACTAAAAAAAAAATACAAGGCCGGGCACGGTGGCTCAAGCCTGTAATCCCAGCACTTTGGGAGGCCGAGACGGGCGGATCACGAGGTCAGGAGATCGAGACCATCCTGGCTAACATGATGAAACCCCGTCTCTACTAAAAAAATACAAAAAACTAGCCGGGCGAGGTGGTGGGCGCCTGTAGTCCCAGCTACTCGGGAGGCTGAGGCAGGAGAATGGTGTGAACCCGGGAGGCGGAGCTTGCAGTGAGCTGAGATCCATCCAGCCACTGCACTCCAGCCTGGGCGACAGAGCGAGACTCCGTCTCAAAAAAAAAAAAAAAATACAAAAAATTAGCTGGGCATGGGGGCCGGCGCCGTAGTCCCAGCTACTCAGGTGGTTGAGGCAGGAGGATGGTGTGAACCCAGGAGGCGGAGCTTGCAGTGAGCCGAGATCGCGCCACTGCACTCCAGCCTGGCCGACAGAGCAAGACTCCATCTCAGAAAAAAAAAAAAAGAAAGAAAGAGAAGGGGGTGGGAGGAGGGCATTCTGGCATTCTGGGGTGGACAATATATCGGACCGTGGGAAGTTGGAGAGTGCAGGAGTTGAGGTGTTATGGATGGATGGGATGCAGATGAGATGGGAAGGAACAGCAGAAGGCAGAAAGGGAAGGGTATCCAATGCTGGGATGTTTCACTTTCTCTTGGAAGCATGGGGAGCAGGGATGCCTTTGGAACAGGAGCATGAAAGATCTCTCTAGTGTCAGCACAGAGAAGGGAGAGAAGGATGTTAGACCACAAGCTGAGGCCTCCCTAATTGTGCTGGGGACAGAGAAGAGAGAAACTAAAAGGGCAGAATGGATGGATGGATGGATGGATGGATGGATGGATGGATGGATGGATGGATGCAGTGGTGTCCTGAAGCTGGTTCACACTGGCTCACAAGAGCATATTGTTAAGTTCTGGGGAATTTTGCCAACTGTTTTTTAAAGAGCCATTAAAATATAAATAAATAAATATATCTCCATATATATGTTTTAAACTTATAGTCAGGCCAGGTATGGTGGCTCACACTTAGAATCCCAACACTTTGGAGGGCCAAGGTGGGAGGATTGCTGGAGCCCAGCCTGGACAACATAATGAAACCCTGTCTCTATTGAAAAATAATAATACAAATTAATAAATCATACATAAAATTTGTAATCAAATAAGTTATTATAAAAAAAGTAGTTTCCTTCCTGTTTCACTTTTTTTTTTCTTTTTGAGATGGAGTCTCGCTCTGTCATCAGGCTGGCGTGCAGTGCCACAATCTCGGCTCACTCCTGGGTTCAAGCGATTCTCCTGCCTCAGCCTCCCGAGTAGCTGGGACTACAGGCGCATGCCACCATACCCAGCTAATTTTTGTATTTTTAGTAGAGACGGGGTTTCACCATGTTGGCCATAATGGTCTTGATCTCTTGACTTCGTAATCTGCTCACCTCGGCCTCCCAAAGTGCTGGGATGCTGGGATTACAGGGGTGAACCACCACACCCGGCCCACCTTTTTTTTTTTTTTTTTTCTTGAGACGGAGTCCACTCTGTCACCCAGGTTGGAGTGCAGAGACGCAATCTCAGCTCACTGCAACCTCTGCCTCCCGGGTTCAAGACATTCTCCTGCCTCAGCCTCCTGAGTAGCTGGGATTACAGGCACATGCCACGGTGCCCGGCTAATTTTTCTATTTTTAGTAGAGACAGGGTTTCACCATGTTGGTCAGGCTGGTCTCAAACTCCTGACCTCATGATTCGCCCACCTCGGCCTCCCAAAGTGCTGGGATTACAGGTGTGAGCCACCGCACCTGGCATTTTTTTTTTTTTTAAGAGATGGAGTCTCACTCTGTCACCCAGGCTGGAGTGCAGTAAGGTGATCTCAGCTCACTGCAACCTCCGCCTCCTGGGTTCAAGCAATTCTTCTGCCTCAGCCCCCCGAGTAGCTGGGACTACAGGCGCGTGCTACCATACCCGGCTAATTTTTGTATTTTCAGTAGAGATGGGGTTTCACCATATTGGCCGGGCTGCTCTGAAACTCCTGACCTCTTGTTCTGCCCGCCTCGGCGCCCGGCCCTATTTTTTTTTTTGTAGTGAAGACAGGGTTTCACCATGTTAGCCAGGCTGGTCTTGAACCTTAAGTGATCCACCCGCCTTGGCCTCCCAAAGTGCGTGAGCCACCTTGCCCAGCCGTTTCACTACCTTTTACTGCATCTACAATATGGTGGAGATACTACATAATGGCCTGTGCTGCACGTCTCTTCCCAGCTCCTCCTTCAGTGCTGTCACGTTGGTAGCTTGAAATCAGCCATGGTGACAGAGTTTACACTGTAGGAATCAGCAAAAGCTACAAATCAGGGTTCTTTCTCCTGTAGCACTGGTTGTTAAATATTTACCATTACAACACTGGATTATCAGACAAATGAATGGGAGAATGGACAAAAAAGTGACTGGAGACAGCGCTTTGTGCCACCCTCCTGTGAGAGAAAAGAGCTGAAATAAAACCATTTGGAAGCGGGGCACAGTGGCTCACACCTGTATTTCCAGCACTTTCGGAGGCTGAGGCGGGCAGATCACTTGAGGCCAGGAGTTCGAGACCAGCCTGGCCAACATGATGAAACTCATCTCTACAAAAAGTACAAAAATTAGCCAGGCAGGGTGCACCCCTGTAATCCCAGCTACTCAGGAGGCTGAGGCATGAGAATCACTGGAACCCAGGAGGTGGAGGTTGCAGTGAGCCTAGATTGCGCCACTGCTCTTCATTCTGGGCAACAGAGTAAGACTCTGTCTCAAAACAAACAAACAAGCAAATCCATATTGGAGCCAATAGGCCAGAGGCAGCCCCTGTAGTAGACGAACGCAGGGAACCTCTTTCCTGTTCCCACCCCTGCCCCACTCCCCCTCACTTTAGTTCCACCGTCTCCACCAGCTGGTGCAGCCTCAGAGTGTCCTCTCGGAGGCCCTGGTAAAGGGACTCGTCCTTCATAATTAGCAGGTATAGATCCTGGAGAGAGGAGGACAAAGAAGGTGAAGGAAGGGGTCTCATCCCAAGGGCTACTCTCTGCAGGGGCCGGGCAAGGTCTCCATGCCTTTGAGCACAGGAGAGCCATATAAGCTAAAGCCCCCTGGCATCTCTTCCTTCCAGGAACCCAGCATAAGAAGTACGGCTCCTTCACAGGGGCCCCCTTCCAGAGCTAATAGCCTGTTTACCCACCTTCTCTTCCCCCAGGCCCACCTTGATGATGTGGCCGGCCCCCTCTTCCTCTTGAAGCAGCCCCTGGTAGGTGTCCAAGAAATGGAGAAGCATGGCTAGACAGGCCTGCTTCCGGCCCAGCCCCTCAGGGCCCTCCATGCCTCCTGCCCGAACAAAGCTGACCCTTAAGTTAAGAAAAATCCCTAGGCAAGCAGACCTGAGGAACTGAGAAGCAAGATGGGAGGCTAGGCTGGGTGCAGTGGCTCACGCCTATAATCCCAGCAGTTTGGGAGGCTGAGGCAGGCAGATCACCTGAGGTCAGGAGTTCGAGACTGGTCTGGCCAACATGGTGAAACCATGACTCTACTAAAAATACAAAAATTCGCCGGGCATGGTGGTGGGTGCCTGTAATCCCAGCTACTCCGGAGGCTGAGGCACAAGAATCGCTTGAACCCGGGAGGCAGAGGTTGCAGTGAGTCGAGATAGGGCCATTGCACTCCAGCCTGGGTGACAGAGGGAGACTCTGTGTCAAAAAAAAAAAAAAAAAAAAAGGAAAAAAGCCCAAGTGCGGTGGCTCACACCTGCAATCCCAGCACTTTGCAAGGCTGAGGCAGGTGGATCACTTAAGGTCAGGAGTTTGAGACCATCCTGGTTAACATGGTGAAACCTTGTCTCTACTAAAAATACAAAAATTAGCCGGGCATGGTGGCAGGAACCTGTAATCCCAGCTACTTGGAAGGCTGAGGCAGGAGAATCTCTTGAACCCAGAAGGCGGAGGTTGCAGTGAGCCAAGGTCACGCCATTGCACTCCAGCCTGGGCAATAAGAGCAAAACTCCATCTCAAAAGAAAGAAAGAAAGGTGGGAGGCTAAATTGCCCCCAAATATTCTCTAGATTTGGGGCCAGAAAGAAAGGAGTTTCAGGGGTCCTGGAGCCAAGACCTCCTAATGCCCCAGCCTAGGCTTTTGCTTAGGGTAGATAGTGATGACCACTTGACCACATCCAGCTCCTGCAGGTTAGACAGGTTAGATTTTCACTTGAGGATAACCTGCCCAGACCCTTCCAACCTCTGGCCAGCCCAGGGCCTGGAGCTCACAGTGCACCTAATAAAGGCCAATGGTGTTTACCACAAACCTGACTATACCTCACTGGAAGGCCTGGTGTTTCTAAGACAGCTTGTTACTTTATTTGTTTGTTTATTTAAGAGGGAGTCTGGTTCTGTTGCCCAGGCTGGAGTACAATGGCACGATCTCAGCTCACTGCAACCTCTGCCTCCTGGGTTCAAGCGATTTCTCCTGCCTCAGGCTCACGAGTTGCTGAGACTACTAGGTGCCCACCACCAAGCCCGGCTAGTTTTTTGTATTTTAGTAGAGACGGAGTTTGACCTTGTTGGCCAGGCTGATCTCAAACTCCTGCCCTCAAGTGATCTACCCGCCTCAGCCTCTCAAAGTGCTGGGATCCAAAAGCATGAGCCACCGCACCTGGCCAAGAGCCTGTAACATTGTACTCAATGGTCTGACATTTACAATTAGGTCTTAAAATAACTCTGTGAGAGGCCCATGCTTACATGAGACCCTATGAATAGCCCATCCAGCGGCTCCTCTCTAGCAGACCCTACTGAAGCACAACCGTGGCCTGATGTTTACATCAGACCCCAGCATAACTCACTGGGCAACCAGATGTTTTAGAGCAATAATTCAGTGGGGATAGAGGCGCCCTTAGTAGAAAAATAACACCATGGCTGGGTGCAGTGGCTCACGTCTGTAATCCCAGCACTCTGAGAGGCCAAGGCAGGCAAACCACTTAAGGTCAGGAGTTCGAGACCATCCTGGGCAACATGGTGAAACTCCGTCTCCACCAAAAAATACAAAAAGTAGCCAGGTGTGGTGGTGTGCGCCTGTAGTCCTCAGCTACAGGGGAGGCTGAGACAGGAGAATCACTTGAACCCAGGAGGCAGAGGTTGCAGTGAGCCGAGATCACACCACTGTACTCCAGCTTGGATGACAGAGCAAGACTCCATCTCAAAATAAATAAATAAATAAATAAATAAATAACACCTTTCATTTGTACAGGGCTCTGCAGCCTCCAAAGCACTCCCATATCTGCTATCAGAGTGATCTTCATAGCAGCTCATAAATAGGCAGGGCAGGTGCTATTTACCTCCATTTTACAGAAGAGGTAACTGAGTCCCCACAAGGTTAGGTAATCTGTCCAAGTCACACAGCTGATTAGTAGAAAAGCTGGGACTGAAACCCAGGTATGTTTTCTTTTCTTTTCTTTTCTTTTTTTTTTTTTTTTTGAGACAGAGTCTCACTCTGTCGCCCAGTCTGGAGTGCAGTGACGCGATCTCGGCTCACTGCAACCTCCGCCTCCTGGGTTTGAGTGATTCTCCTGCCTCAGCCTCCCAAGTAGCTGGGGTTACAGGTGTGTGGCACCATGCCTGGCTAATTTTTTTTTTTTTTTTTTTTTTTTTTTTTGAGATGGAGTCTGTCGCCCAGGCTGGAGTGCAGTGGCCGGATCTCAGCTCACTGCAAGCTCCGCCTCCCGGGTTTACGCCATTCTCCTGCCTCAGCCTCCCGAGTAGCTGGGACTACAGGCGCTCGCCACCTCGCCCGGCTATTTTTTTTGTATTTTTTAGTAGAGACGGGGTTTCACCGTGTTAGCCAGGATGGTCTCGATCTCCTGACCTCATGATCCACCCGTCTCGGCCTCCCAAAGTGCTGGGATTACAGGCTTGAGCCACCGCGCCCGGCCATTTTTTGTATTTTTATTTTTTTATTTATTTTATTTTATTTATTTTTTTTTTTTGAGACGGAGTCTCGCTCTGTCGCCCAGGCTGGAGTGCAGTGGCCGGATCTCGGCTCACTGCAAACTCCGCTTCCCGGGTTCACGCCATTCTCCCGCCTCAGCCTCCCAAGTAGCTGGGACTACAGGCGTTCGCCACCTCGCCCGGCTAGTTTTTTGTACTTTTTAGTAGAGACGGGGTTTCACCGTGTTAGCCAGGATGGTCTCGATCTCCTGACCTCGTGATCCACCCGTCTCGGCCTCCCAAAGTGCTGGGATTACAGGCGTGAGCCACCGCGCCCAGCTTCATTTTTTGTATTTTTAATAGAGATGGGGTTTCACCATGTTGGCCCTGCTGGTCTTGATCTCCTGACCTCAGGTGATCCACCCACCTTGGCCTTCCAAAGTGCTGGGATTACAGGCGTGAGCCACCACACCCAGCCCCAGGTATGTTTCCTAGGGGAGAGTTTAGGCTCTGAGATTGCATGTGGGATGGAGGGAGTGGCTCCCTTCTGACCTCTCCTTTTACAAACTCCACAAAAGGATATTACTGGTGTAGCTCCTGCAGAAATTTCTCCGTCGGGAGGAAGAGAGAATGGGTAAGGACAATGTCATCCAGCAGGATATCTGTAAAGATCAGTGGGCACCACGGATGTCAGGAGGGCACTTCCAGAATGAAACTGGAAATGCAGTGCCTCCTTCTCTTGCCCCTGAGGGCAAGTTCTCTTTAGCCAGGCTGGAGCCCCAGCCACCTGCCCCATCATGCTCTGCACACACACACACACACACACACATGTGTAAAGGTTCTGGGCAGCCGCTGCGGGGGTGGGTTTGGCAGCTGCCAAGGCAGCTGAAGGGAAGTGGGGGGCGTGCCTTTGATGGCCATGTGCACTTCTCTTCAGAGTATGTGGGAAGTTGGTCAGATAACACACCAAGCTTGAGTTCTGCCTGAAAAAAGAAGTAGCCCACAGAAGATTCTCTAGACAAAGAGTATTTCCAAACACAGAGGTTAGCATCAGTGGGGAGTGTGTGTGTGTGTGTGTGTGTGTGTGTGTGTGTGTGTATCCCTCTTCTCCTCCCCATTCCCTACCTAACAGCTTTGAGTTCTAACTAGGCAGGTGGGAACCAGCCTGACTGGAAGAGACTGCCATTGCTTTGATCCCAGAACCTTTAAATAGAAATCCTGTGTCCTTTAGGTGCCCAGAGACAGAAGGGTTAATGATGGAATGGTGAAGGGGAGCGGCTCCTCTCACCACCCCTTTCCCCTCCACACCCCCGTCTGGGCCTGGCTCAGCCAGTCAGCCGGGTACAAGGTCGCCCTGACTTGCAGCCAGCCCTGGGGTGGGGCAGGGCCGCCTGGCACACACAGACAGGCAAGGTGCAGGGAGGGAGCCAGGTGTCCTCACCAGGACAGGTTAGGGCCAGGTCCCCAGGCACGGTCCCAGGACAAAACCAAGACTTCTGACCGCCTTTGGTTCACTATCCCCTGTGGTCAGTTCTAGCAACGATTTCATTTCGCAAATGTGAAACTGAGGCCCAGAGCTGGGAGGGACTTGCCTGGAGCTGGAATAAGAACCCAGAACCCGAGGCAGGCAGAGTGTTAGGGTAAAACCTAGTGGTCAGAGGGGGCTGCTTGGACGTTGGAGAGGCTTTGGTAGGTTAAGAGTAACTTCTGTAAGTTCTCTTCTCCCACACACCCTGGGAGGAGACCAGGATGACTTGAGAACATTGGTTTTATTGGAGAACATCAGAGTGGCAGGTTAAGCTGATTCTCATTCACCCTGAGACTGGTTTGGAATTTCCCAAACCAGTTACTCTGGGAATCAAGGCTTCCAGATAACATGGGTGACATTTCAGGAGTCTTACCCCAAGGGAGAATGAGCAGAGCATGTGGCACCAGGCCCCTGTAAATGGGGAAAGACAGTTTCTCCCTTTTCCTCCCTGCCCAGCTACCCCGCTGTGTTCTTACAATGAGTCAGCCCCCAGCTCTGACCCCCAGCTTCAGGGATGGGGGTGAGGAAACGAGAGGCCTGACATCCTTCATAGACTTTATCTCACAGGATTCCTAAGCTGGAGCAAAGGAAGAGTAAGATGGAGCAGAGTGGAGGAGATGCTGATATGGGGGCCACAGTTGGGCATCTGCCTTTTCCAAGGCAGGCTCTGGGCCAATGTACAGCCTCCCTAGGGAATGTGTCATAGAGACACAGGGTGTGTGGTGTAGGCGGGAAGTTATGGTTAGGAGAGCTGTGTGTGTCTGATATTTTTCTAATTAAATCCAAAAGGTGTCAGCTCCCCAGGGCAACTACAGTCTGCACCAAAGGAGAGGACCCAGGTCTTGAGAAGGATCTAGGAGAGTGGAGCCCCCCTCCACACATCTAGGTTGGGGTTCCCTGCCGAGGGCTGAGAGCAAGTGTGAAAGCCCTCAGCATTAGGGTCTCAGCCAGGGTTCCCAAACCTCAGACCCTCCTGGGCTTAGTGCAATGCCTAGAGCTAGACCTAGAGACCCCTAGGTCTTCTACCTCAGCCACTAACCAGCCATTTGGGGCCTTGGTTTCCTCAAAGGCCCCTTAGTAGGGGTGCTGAAAGGGAATGGTGAAATAGTATCATCATTTAGGGAATAAGCTTCTCAGGGTGTGGTGATTATGTTTTAAAGAGGCCGTGTGCCAGGTCCAGTGGCTCATGCCTGTAATCCCAGCACTTTGGGAGGCCGAGGTGGTGGGGGGGCGGGGGTGAATCACGAGGTCAGGAGTTCAAGACCAGCTTGGCCAAGTTGGTGAAACCCCGTCTCTACTAAAACTACAATTAGCCAGGCTGGTGGCTCATGCCTGAAATCCCAGCACTTTGGGAGGCCAAGGCAGGCAGATCACGAGGTCAGGAGATCGAGACCATCCTGGCTAACACGGTGAAACGCTGTCTCTACTAAAAATACAAAAATTAGCCAGGCGTGGTGGCACGTGCCTGTAGTTCCAGCTACTCCGGAGACTGAGGCAGGAGAATCGCTTGAACCTGGGCGGTGGATGTTGCAGTGAGCTGAGATCGCACCACTGCACTCCAGCACTCCAGCCTGGGTGAGAGTGAGACTATGTCTCAAAAAAAAAAAAAAAAAAAAAAAAAAAAAGCCATGTGCTGAGGCCTGCCACCAAAAGGGAAGAGTGGAAGCTGGAGGCGCTTGGATGCCCTGGATGCTCCAGGGCCCTGATGCCGACCCAGCCACCTGTCCCCTTCCAGACACCTTCTGAGTCTACCCCAAGAAGAACACTATCCCCCCCACCAAACTGCTAAGGACAACGCATCCCTTTGCTGATGCCTAAAAGGCAGCTTGGGGCCTGTGCCTGTCTGGCACTTCCTCCTGGGGTGGGCCAGCCTGCGCTGTGCAGGCCTCTGAACAGTCAGGGACCCCAGGGTTTTCAGGGCTCAAGCACCTCTGGCGGGTGGCATGGCTGCGCTGGGCAGCTTCCATCTTAATGTGTCAGGCCCTAATTTGGAGCCACAGGAGGAGGTATTCAATATCAGGGACCCATGGGAGTCAGTGGCTACAATGCCCAGGGGAAAGGAAGGGTGACTGAAGGAGAGTAAGAGGCAAGAGGCTCAGTTGCTTCTCCAGATGGGGGTGAGGCTGCTGTAGGGAGGAAGGTGGGTACTGCCCTCCTCTTCCGCGGGAGGGTCTGTGCCTCCGCTAGGCCCCTAGCCGGCTTCCGCGGACCATTCAACCCCATAACCAGGCCTCAGCACGGCGCCACCCCCACGCTCCAAGGGCAAGGAAGAGGAGCCGGGACCAGCCCCTGCTCCGGGTGTTCAAGCCCACTGGCTCCTTACCTGAGGCGCCGCTGTCCCTGGTGGCCCCTCCAGCAAGCCGTTCCAGAACCCGGTTCAGAAGATGCTCCGGCCGCTCGGGGGCGCCCAGGGGGGCCCAGGGCGGCGAAGTCAAGGGCTCGCCCGGGGACAGCTCGTCAGATGAGTAGGAGGAAGGGGAGCGCAGGGGCCCCCCTCCCCCGAGCGGCCCGGGCCCTGGCACCTCCTCCAGCTGCAGCCAGCAGGGCCCCCCGCTGCCCGGCTCCTCCGCGACCCCCGCTGGCTCTCCCCCTTCCTCCTCAGGGGGCGGCTCCAGCCCCAGCTCGGCGGGGGGCTCCCGGAGGAAAGCGGGGAGCAGCAGGCGAGACACGCTCTGACGCCGCTGCAACGACCGCGGTCCCCCGGCTGGACAGCCGCCCCCGCCGGGTCCCCCACCCCCTCCAGGCCCACCGTAGCTCCCCGGACCCCCGCCGGGACCTCCCGCCACCGTTCGGCCCGCCAGCTGCGACGTCTGCTTCTTCAGAAATTTCTCCAGCGGCTTCATGCCCCCCCCGCCCCTCTCCTAGGGGCCGCCGGGGGACCCAGGTGTCCCAGGCGCGGGCGGGGGGGCGGACGGGGACACGATGCTCAGAGCTGGAGGAGCAGAGGACCGTGCCAGGAGCCGGACTGGGGGCCAGAGGTGCCGAGCCTCGCTGGCCAGAGTCCAGTGGCCAGTAGCCGGGGGAGGTGCCAGAAGGAAGGAGTGCCCGCTCTCAGCAACCCCCCATGCCGGCTGCAGCTGGCACGCGGCCCGAAGAGTGGGCAGGCTGCGGGGCCGGTGCCCCCGGCTCTGCGCTGCGGCGGCAGAAGCAGCGGGCGGAGCGCAAGGCTGAGAGGACGCGGCGGCGGCTGCGCTCCTGGCCGTGAGGAGGGGGAAGGTGGCAGAGCTGAGACCGCGCCCCCTCCTCCAGTCCCCGCCCAGTCCCCGCCCCTGCCCTTCCTGGGCCCGCCCCCGCGCCGCACGAGGCTTGAACTCGCGCGCTGGGGTTGACCACGAGGGAAACAGTAAGGGACTTGGGTTCTGAGCAGAAGAAATTAAGGGCAAAGGTAAGGCAGAGATTTACCAATGGGGAAGGATTCTTGGCTCAAGGGATAACTGGGTCTCAGCATCATTTCAAAGTTAGGACAGGTCTGTGACCTGGACACCTTGACTCAACTACCTGTGTACCCAAGTCAGGCCTAAAGATTGCTGAACCCATGAGTGTGCACCTTTCCCATACTCACAGGAATATGTGGACTTTATCTTCCTTCTGTGAGAAGGGCTGGGAAGGCCTCGGGTGAATTAGCATTGCCACTGGAGGCGGTGCCCATCTGTCCTCTCTGGTAGGGCACCATAGGTGGTGTGGGCCTGGTCTGTGGGCAGGTACTGGCAGGCAGGTAGGAGCCAGGCAGGGAGCAGCAGGTTGTGGCAGGTCTAGCTGGGGTGAGGAGGGGATAATAGGCAGTGGGGAGGAGACCAGGAGCATAAGGGCACCTGGGCCCAGCTGGCAGCAGAAGGAAGCAGGGCCACGGAGACAGGTGACAAGCCCCAGAACTGCCAACTATCATTAAGCACAGAGCCCAAGTGTACATAGCCATGGAGTGGGAAAAGTGGTACCAAATTAGCACTCCAAGTAATCCTTACTCCTGATGCCCACGCCAGGAGCATTCTGTCCTTAAGGATATGCTGCCCCAGAAGGGGGGGAGGGCAGCGTAAAGCCATGTTAAGTGTGAGAACATCCAGGTTAGACTTACTAGGCGCGGAGAGTGGCAGCAGGTTCCGAGTGGGTTGAGGCTCTCTAGACAATGCCCCACCCCTGTTTACCAAGCACCAACCAGGCAGGGACAGGAATGCTAATGGCTGGGAGTGGTAGTAAAACTCAACAGGGTGTGTACGACATACGTATCAATGTATGTGCATATCTGTTCCCATGTGTGCTACAGCATGTGTTCACAGAAATAAAGCTTTGCACACCCATCTGTTTGTGGATTTGGAAACAGTAAAAAGACGACAGTGCACAATTTTGACTAAGAAGCTGTATCAGAGGTCTGAGTATCAGCTTCCTGTGCTCCCCTTATTGGACACCCCAATATCCCCGGGCTTGAAAGGGGAAAGTGGCTGGAATGGGTTGGAGCTCCCCAGGTAGCATTTTATGAACTGAATAGGAAGAGGGAAGGGCTTCTCTCCCAGCACATGCCACAGTTGCCAGATTAAGCCGGTTGCCTTGGTAACCTTCTCTCTGGGCAGGATTTGGGAATTGTTGGTTAGGAAGGGCGAATTGGGGAGTGTGAAGGGTGTGGGGGGTTGAAAATAAAAGGGACTGAAAGACTTCTGGAAGCTAGAAGCTTGGGACACAGGACCCCAGCACTCCCCCAAATGCTCAAGGATATCAGGCAGAGACTAAGTTCAACATTTTGAATCAGTGAGGAGAGCCAGCATCAAGTCATGGTCCTCCTGGAGTGGCGGTGGTTTTCACCCTGACTACACACTGGAATCACAGGGAAGCTTCTCAGAAATATTGATGCCGACTGGGCGTGGTGGCTCACGCCTGTAATCTCAACACTTTGGGAAACTAAGGCGGGCAGATCACTTGAGGTCATGAGTTCAAGACCAGCCTGACCAACATGGTGAAACCCCATCTCTACTAAAAATACAAAAAGAAATTAGCCGGGCATGGTGGCACACACCTTTAATCCCAGCTACTCTAGAGGCTGAGGCGGAAGGATCGCTTGAACCTGGGAGGTGAAGGTTGCAGTGAGCTGTTATCATGCTACTGCACTCTAGTCTGGGTGAGAGACTCCATATTAAAAAAAAAATACTAGCCAGGCGCAGCGGCTCCCGCCTATAATCCCAGCACTTTGGGAGGCCGAGAAGGTGCATCATGAGGTCAGGAGTTTGAGACCAGTCTGGCCAACATAGTGAAGCCCTGTCTGTACTAAAAATACAAAAATTTGCTGGGCATGGTGGCGGGTGCCTGTAATCCCAGCTACTCAGGAGGCTGAGGCAGGAGAATCACTTGAACCCGGGAGGCAGAGGCTGCAATGAGCGGAGATCGTGCCACTGCACTCCAGCTTTGGCAACAAGAGCAAGACTGTCTCCAAAAAAAAAAAAAAAAAAAAAGGCACTGATGCCTAGGCCGTATCTCAGACCACTTAAATCAGATTTCTGAACCAGGGCCAAGGCTTATGGTATTTAAAAAGCTCCTCACATGACACAAACGGCCAGGATTGAAAATCACTGCCCTAGAGGGACAGTTCAACCCAAGTGGACTGCAGATACTGGGAGTTGACTTTGGAATTCCAAGTCTTTGGTGCTCCGAGTTGCCCACAAGTTTGCAGGCCTATGTGCTGACCCTGAAGGGGAAGAGGGTTGGCAGGGCATTTGCAGCCGCTTATGGAAGAAATAAAGAGGAAGGCAGGGTGGTATGAATAATAACTATGAGATAGGGGCGAAAAAGCCTTGAGGGCCCAGCCCATGGACTTCTACAAGGGGACCGGGCAGGGCCACCTAAGGCTGTCTGCTGCTTACACACCCTCTTCTTTCTGACCACCCAGAGGCAGGATGGGAGGATAGAGAACCTGGGGGCTTTGCTGAGTGAGAGTTTCTTCTTGCAGAGCTGGTTACCAGGGCAACAGAGAGAGCACTAGGGTCTAACTGAAGGACTGGGGAAGCAAGAGGCAAGGGTAAAGGGGAAGCATCCAACACTCAAACCTCCTGCCAGTAACCCACCCCAAGGCTGGTTGGCATTTTTTGCATGACCCCGGGAGATCAGGCCTACAGTCACTCATCACACTGTGGGGAAGAGAAGCAAACTGATACGATTTAAAGAGGAGTTCGGGGCCCAGAGCGGTGGGTCACGCCTATAATCCCAGCACTTTGGGAGGCTGAGCTGAGCCAATCACCTGAGGCCAGGAATGAGACCAACCTGGCCAACATGGTGAAACCCCATCTCTACTAAAAATACAGAAAAAAAGTAGCCAGGCGTGGTGGCGGGTGCCTGTAATCCCAGCTACTTGGGAGGCTGAGACAAAACAATCACTTCAACCCGGGAGGCGGAGGCTGCAGTGAGCCAAGATCGTGACACTGCACTCCAGCCTGGGTGACAGAGCGAGACTCAGTATAAAAAAAAAAAAAAAAGGAATTAGGAATGTGGGTCAGGAAAGTCACAGTACTCTGGCTGTGGCACCAGCACCAAGGGATGGGGAAGTCCCATCTGTCTTTATAAGATGTACAATAGTTGGGCACAGCAGCTCAAGCCTGTAATCCCAGCACTTTGGGAAGCCCAGACAGGAGGATCACTTGAGCCCAGGAATTCAATGACCCTGTCTCTACAAAAATTAAAAAAAAAAAAAAAAAATTAGCTAGGTGTGGTGGTACATGCTTGTGGTTCCAGCTACTTGAGAGGCTGAGGTGGATGGATTGCTTGAGCCCAGATGGTCAAAGCTGCAGTGAGCCATGATTGTGCCATTGCACTCCAGTCTGAGCAATAGAGCAAGACCAAAAAAAAAAAAAAAAAAGATGCAGTATGACATCCATGCCTCCAGTGTATGGATTTGTGAAACCCAACAAATGCTGCCAAGCTCCATATGAAAATTGCTCTCCCATACCAGGGATAGCCTCTGTAGTAAACTTCCATCCCACCCAGAGGAAAAAGTCACTTCAAAGGTAGGAACTGCCCTCTAAGCATCAAAGGCCAAGTGGACTAGGTAAACTGAAACATGACCCACAGTTGATTTGTTTTTTGAAAACTTGTGTCCAGGCAGGTCATATTATCTGTTAATTTCACTTTGGGATTAGTGTTGCAAAACATTTGTTGTTAAGAAAGGAACACTGGCCGGGCGCGGTGGCTCACGCCTGTAATCCCAGCACTTTGGGAGGCCGAGGCGGGCGGATCACAAGGTCAGGAGATCGAGACCACGGTGAAACCCCGTCTCTACTAAAAATACAAAAAATTAGCCGGGCGCGGTGGCGGGCGCCTGTAGTCCCAGCTACTCAGGAGGCTGAGGCAGGAGAATGGCGTAAACCCAGGAGGCGGAGCTTGCAGTGAGCCGAGATCGCGCCACTGCACTCCAGCCTGGGCGACAGAGCGAGACTCCGTCTCAAAAAACAAACAAAAAAAAAAAACAAGAAAGGAACATTGGGGCTGGGTGTTGTGGCTTGCACATGTAATCCCAGCACTCTAGGAGGCTAAGGCAGGAGGATCACTTGAACCTAGGCGTTCTAGACCAGCCTGGGTAACACATTGAGACCTCGACTCTACTAAAAACAAACCAAAAAAATTAGCTGGGCATGGTGGTGTGGGCCTGTAGTCACAGCTGTTTGGGAAGCTGTGGCAGGAGGATTGCTTGAACGTAGGAGCTCCAGGTTGCAGCTACCTATGATCGTGCCACTGTATTCCAGCCTGGGTGACAGAGCAAGACTGTCTCAGGAAAAAAAAAAAAAAAAAAGTGACACTGGATCTGGTAGGGTGGAGAGTCACTGGCAAGGACATTAAGAACACAGACTCAAACTTGGCCTTGGGAGGCCAAGGCAGGTGGATCACCTGAGGTCAGGAGTTCAAGACCAGCCTGGCCAACATGGTGAAACCCCATTTCTACTAAAAATATAATTTTTTTTTGGTACAAAAAATACAAAAATTTCTACTAAAAATACAAAAAAAAAAAAAATTTCCCTTCCCCTTACCTGACCTGATCGTCTCCCTAAGACTGTGGTCCTTAATACTTGAGTGTCGGCATCTTTACTTTTCAAGAAAGCTATACCAATACTTCCCCCAGCCCAGGACTTGGTATAGTTATACTGACATCTGATGGCATATTACCTTGGGAAACTTACTTGCCAAACACAAAGGAAGCCATAAAGAATACTAGATGCTCATGTGAATAAGCAGCATCTCTCTGCTTCTCTGTCCCTGACACTTCCAATCTAAGGGATGGCATGATATCCTGGTAATCTATGTGGTTAAAAAAGATAACTGATGGGGAGTGCAGACACATTTATGGCCTCAAAGGGGCTCCTCATCTCTCTGGGCTTCTGTTTCACAAGTCTGGGCTGACCTGAGTTGTGACCGTGACCCTGTGGGGGAATTAGGGAGTCCTCTTCCCTCCCTCCCAAATCAAGACTCATGCAAAACATTGGCAAGAGAGCCAAGTTTACAGTCTAAATTTTATTATCTCCAAGTCACAATGCTGATCACAAATGGGCACCCTTTAAAACAGTAACAAAAAACACCACCACACATGGAAAAATCCTTGCAACTAAACACAGTGGACCAACAGAGACAACTCTCACAGTGTCTTAAGGTCTGGGAATCTGGGCATGCTGCCCACAGGCTTGAGGAGACATCTTCAGGTTTAAGGCAAAGGGAACAGCCTACAAAAGGCACAACCACCAGCTACCCCTGGAAGAATCTCTTAGTTATTTCCTCCTTGGGGGTTACAGATTAAATGCCCCTTCCCCCTCTCCACGCCACACCTGTGACTCGAGTGGTTAGGCCAGCTGCTAGAGGGAAGGAATAAAAACAGACAGTGACATTACCGGGGAGAGACACAGCCACCATCTTCGCCCTCAGGTTCTGTAGAAGGACAGGGACAGTGGCCAAGTTACCCCTGGCGGACAGAAGTACTGCAGTAATAGGAATCTCTTCCGCAGAGGCAGCAGAGAAGTGGTTTAGTGCCATGGATAGCAAGGAAAGATAGGAGCCCTTGCCCAGAAGGTGACTGGCTTCCTTAGGCCTTAAGCCCAGGTGTAGTATCTTCTGTTTGCAAGGACAAAAGTAGAATTCGGGGAAAATAAGGTAGTAACATCTAAAACACTTGTAGCAGAGAAGACGTGGAGAAGAGCAATTGCAAAGGATGGGGTAGACTGCTTGCTGGATGATATTTGCCTTTAAAGAGATGCATTGGTCCACAGCAACTGGAAAGGGAGTGTAGCAAGAAGAATGGAAAGAAGAGAAGCAAGGCCCTCTAATTCCACTTACCTCAAAAGACTGCGCCCCGAGGACTATGTGAATACACACCCCTAAGGGCAAAGGCTCTCACTCCACCATCCCTTTCTCACAAAAGCATCTGGTTTGCCATCTCTCCCCACAGTAGGGTATTTGCCCTCAGCAGAGAACAGAAGTCCACCATAGTACAGGTACTGATGGATGCTCAGACTCCTAAAAACCTAAGTCAAAGAGAAGGACTCCTACCCACCTATTCTGAGCTTTTCTGCACAATAGGACCCTCTGTGCAGACAGCCATGCTTCCACAGGGTTAGAGTTAAGGGAATACAAGTATACAAGAGGATAACAAACGCCAACTAAAAGTGAAAGGCCAGGTCTTTTTAGCCTTGGTGAGGAAGGCTGGCTGATACATTCTCCATTATCTGGGATGCAGGGAAGAGTCAAAAGGGAATCCAGAGGGGCCAGCAAACCAGAAGAATGGACTTGTTTCATTTAAAGGCAGGGAGAGCAAGAAACAGAGACAAAGAGAAAAAACTAAAATAATATTAAGGATAAGAAGCCAGGCTTTAAAAATGAACATCTTAGAAAACAAAACAAACAGGAAGGAGCTTCCTTGAGAACAGAAGACACTTCAATTTCCCAGAAGAAAGTGAAGAACAGCAGAAGACATGGGCTTCTGGATCTAGACTCAGAAGCTTGGGGCTGTCTGGCTCTGCTCCCCCGAACACAGCCAACTCAAGTGAAGAGTGAAGATGGGACGAGGTCCACTTGTTTCTCCCTCTCTCCAGAGCCTGTCCTTAGAGGAAGGCAGGGGTCCTCCTCTTTCAGCTGTTTGCTGGTAGAAGCCATAACCTATATCTTTGAAGCCCTTCTGGTAGTAGATAGCCAGCTGTATTTCTCTTCTCCCCTGAGTTCTCACCTCTGCCGTTCTGACAGGGGTTGGAAAAAGGGAAGAACCACCAAAGTGTTAGTGGGCCGTCTGGGCATTTACAAGCTGTTTACAAAAAGCCACGTTTCTAGATAATGTGTATTAAGTAATGTCCTTAAACAAAATAAAAGCAACAAAACCCCCAGTCTTTCTCCTCTATGATCTTTAGAACTGGTTTTTTCTGCTATAACATCTCAAATTTAGATTTCCCTTTTCCTTTACTGCCTTCCTGTATTTTTTCCTTGTAGCTTCTAAATTGAAAATTGTCATGTAACAGTCGTTTCTACTTCAACCCTGCCCCATACACTTGCCACACAAACAAACTGGCAAATTTCAGGACTCCTTTAAGCCTCCTGAGATATCCCATGATTATTATAATTTAAAGCATTAATTAGAAGCCAGGCGGGGTGGCTCACGCCTGTAAGTCCAGCACTTTGGGAGGCCAAGGCAGGAAGATCACCTGAGGTTAGGAGTTCAAGATCAGCCTGGCCAATATGGTGAAACCCCATTTCTACTAAAAATACAAAAACTAGTCAGGTGTGGTCGTGCATGCCTATAATCCTAGCTACTCAGGAGGCTGAGGCAAGAGCAATGCTTGAACTCAGGAGATGGAGGTTGCAGTGAGCTGAGATTGTGCCACTGCACTCCAGCCTGGGTAACGGACTGAGACTCCATCTCAAAAAAAAAAAAAAAAAGCATTAATTAGTGATTTTTGTTTGTTAAGCAAGTGTAAGCATTAGTTTTAAGAATATTCACAGTAAGTTGTGCACTTACTTTTATATGATGTTAAGATTTAAAATATTCAGAAACTCATATTAACTGGAACCCCTGCTTACAACCTGAAATAATAAAGTTGGAATTTGTTATCAGGTCATACCAAAGACTGTTTTCCAGAGAAACACACCCAGAAAAATGAGGGAAATCCTCTGGGGAGAAGGAAAGCCCACTGACGGAGCATGTGCACTAAGTATGGGAAGGAGCTCTCATACCTCAGGTGGAGGGGGCTTGATGGTGACTGGCTGGGGAGTCCTCCGTGGTGGGGAGGGCTTTGGTTGCACCTGCTGCTGGGCGGGGTTATAGTAGGTCACTCCTCCATATACCTGTGATGGGGCCTGGACCCCACAAGCCAGGAGAAGAAAAAGTTAGGAATGAATTCATCCAACCTATGATGAACAGGAAATATTATTCATCCACAAGAGTACTGGGGAATTTATAATTTTTAAAATATCTGATCTGCCCACCCTTCAAAATAAAGTGACTATTCATTTTTGCCTTAATTCGTCATTATTTTGCTCTGGTTTTTATTTCTTCAAAGTACTGCCCAGCTTTCTCTAATTCTTAACATCAGCTGACAACTGGAAAAGGCTGAGTTCAGTAGTGACACTACAGATACTTGATTATGTCAATGTGGTGGAAGTTAAGCAGGACAGAGGTGGGGTGATAAGGAGTAGAATACAGCTTCTTTATGCAAGAGTGAAAAGCAGGTATTGCCACCTATGAAGTACCACAACACAGGAAAGAAACACCATTAAAGAAACTGAACGCTGGGTGCGGTGGCTCATGCCTGTAATCCCAGCACTTTCGGAGGCTGAGGCAGGTGGATCGGTTGAGGTCAGGAGTTTGAGACCAGCTTGGCCAACATGGTGAAACCCCGTCTCTACTAGAAACACAAAAATTAGCGGGGCGTGGTGGCAGGTGCTGTAATCCCAGCTACTCGGGAGGCTGAGGCAGGAGAATTGCTTGAACCCAAGAGGTGGAGGTTGCAGTAAACTGAGATCATGCCACTGCACTACAGGCCTGGGCGACAGAGAAAAAAACTGAAAAGAATAAAGATGATGGGCATTACATAAGCTGCATTTCCAGCTCCTGACCACTAAGAGGCGTCTTAGCGTCACATACAAATCAGTGGCACTGAAATGTTCTCTCAAATTCCTTTAGCATTCTCCCCATACCACACTCCTGTCTGAATTAAAGAATATGTATCTAGAAAAACATGATCATTAGCCATCTCACCTGTGTATTAGGATACAGATGAGGCGGCGGTGGGGGAGGCAGTGCCCCTGGAGCATAAGGGTAACTGGGATTACCAAAGTTCATGACGCCTGGAGCAGAAAAGTAAGTAGGAGCAAGCAACTGCTGAGGTGGTGGCTGTCCTGGAGACATGGACACTGGTGGGGGATAGAGGCCTGGATTGGGCAGAGGAGCTGGTGTCTGGTGGGGATGTAAACCTGGATAAGGAGAAGAAAAAAACTGAAAAATAAAGTAACATCATTTTCATAGGATGGCCTGGCTGGACTGCTCAGTATAATCAGGCTCAGGATGGAAGTCCTCAGGATGGATACAAGAGGAATTTGTTGCCAACGCAGCCAGGATGGCCAGACTCCCAGGCTAGCAGCACAGAACTCAGGAGGATAGGGTTTGTGGTGCTCCCAACATATATCCTCAGGTACTGGAAGCATACAAGCAGAGACACTAAACTTACCTGGGTGGGGAAGGTGCATTTCTGGCTGCACAAGCATGCCCTGTGGAGGCAGCGGGGCAGGGCTGTCACCATGGGTATAGATTGGTCCCTGGAACTGCACTGTAAGATATCACATTGGGACTCTCATAAACCCTTACTCTTCACATCACATGGACAAGTCTCCTTGTTCCCCAAGCCCTTTAAAAGATGCTCTCAATATTCCATGCGAAGAAAACAGCAACCAGACAATGTTTGATAACCACTATGAGAGGTCAGAAGAGAAATTCAGGAGCCAGGAGCCTAGTGTCTTACTTCACTTCACACTGCCAAGAAAAGTACCCCAACAATAAGAAAAAACTCACGTGGATCATAGTAATGTCCCTCCATGATACTGATATGCACTGGAGGGGCGGGGGGCTCTGGCACAGGTCTTTGCCGCTGGGATGAATAGCGTTTGGCTCGACCACCCTGGACGCCCTGAGACAAAGAAAGAGGCCTAAACAATAAGAATTCTAGAGGGCTCTCATGTCAAGTTCTACCTTCCTTTAGGTGTTGAAAAACAACTTGGTATATGGCAGGTGTTTAATGGGTATTTGCAAAGTGAGCTGAAAAGTAATGAAAGATAACAAGATTTGAACCTAGGGCCAGGCGTGGTGGCTCACGCCTGTAATCCCAGCACTTTGGGAGGCTGAGTCAGGCAGATAATGAGGTCAGGAGATCAAGACCATCCTGGCTAACATGGTGAAACCCCGTCTCTACTAAAAATACAAAGAAATTAGCCGGGCGTGGTGGCGGGTGCCTGTAGTACCAGTTACTCAGGAGGCTGAGGCAGGGGAACGGTGAGAACCTGGGAGGCGGAGCTTGCAGTGAGCCGAGATCACGCCACTGCACTCCAGCCTGGGCCACAGAGCAAGACTCTGTCTCAAAAAAAAAAAAAAAAGATTTGAACCTAAACCTTCTACCTTACATTTCTGAAATCCAAATTAAAATAAACATGGATAATCAATGGAAAAACTGACTTTATCTTAGCCAGGTGTGGTAGATCACGAGGTCAGGAGTTCCAGACCAGCCTCAACATGGTGAAACCCCGTCTCTACTAAAAATACAAAAATTGGCCGGGCGCGGTGGCTCAAGCCTGTAATCCCAGCACTTTGGGAGGCCGAGGCGGGCGGATCACAAGGTCAGGAGATCGAGACCACAGTGAAACCCCGTCTCTACTAAAAATACAAAAAATTAGCCGGGCGCGGTGGCGGGCGCCTGTAGTCCCAGCTACTCAGGAGGCTGAGGCAGGAGAATGGCGGGAACCCGGGAGGCGGAGCTTGCAGTGAGCCGAGATCGCGCCACTGCACTCCAGCCTGGGCAACAGCGTGAGACTCCGTCTCAAAAAAAAAAAAAAAAAATTATCTGGGCATGATGGCATGTTCCTGTAATGCCAGCTACTTGGGAGGCTGAGGCAGGAGAATTGCTTGAACTCGGACCCGGGAGGCAGAGCTTGCAGTGAGCTGCGATCCCATCACCGCACTCTAGCCTAGGCAACGAGGTAAGACTCCATCTCCAAAAAAAAAAAAAAAAAAAAAGGCCGGGCGCGGTGGCTCAAGCCTGTAATCCCAGGACTTTGGGAGGCCAAGACGGGCGGATCACGAGGTCATGAGATCGAGACCATCCTGGCTAACCCGGTGAAACCCCGTCTCTACTAAAAAATACAAAAAACTAGCCGGGCGAGGTGGCGGGCGCCTGTAGTCCCAGCTACTCGGGAGGCTGAGGCAGGAGAATGGCGTAAACCCGGGAGGCGGGAGCTTGCAGTGAGCTGAGATCCAGCCACTGCACTCCAGCCTGGGCGACAGAGCGAGACTCCATCTCAAAAGAAAAAAACAAAAACAAAAACAAACAAACAAAAAAAAACCTTATCTTGGTTTTAACAATGAACAAGCTGTGTAACAGGCAGCTCCCTCCCCCATCTACCCTTTTCCCCTTCTGTACCATTTCTTCCATCCGGTTAAACTGAGGTGGAGGTCCTGCTCCCATGTGAATATGGTTGGGCATACCTGTAATACACCAAAAAAGTTACTTCTGCAGATCAGACATATGTGAGTGGGACTCAAAGATACTATCAAGAAACAGGTTTAAGTGTCAACATGAGGAATGCCTTTTTTCTTTTAATTAATAAAATTCTCTATAAACTATCTCTGCTTTCTGTCTACACCAGCATTTAGAAATTTGTCCCCACTGTCTGCCATCTTAATATAGCAATAAAGCCCTTGAACATAAAAAATAAAATGACTTCAATAAAGAAAATCAAGTTCAAATTTTTCCTATCAAATTGTTCCCTGCATAGAATCATTGGGAGATTATAATTAGTACATTACATTATCCGACCTACTGAAAAATCTCAGCCCAAGAGTTTCTGAGCAACGGCCGGACAAGGGAGGGATGCTTTGTAAATCTACTTGATTACATCCCATTCACAGGGATCTAGGTTGGAAGTTTGAGAGGAGATTCTCCTCTGGCTAAAATGACTCAAGACAAAAAGGAATGTTCTAGAGATTGTCCTCCAATAGTAAGAAGGGTGCTATAACTCCAAATGAGGAGTTCCAATATTTAAGTTAGATTTCAGACTAAGGAAAGATCCTTCGATCTATCTGGGTGGAGAAAGACAAACCCGAACAGGCAAAATGGGTAATATGTAGGTCTTACTCTCTAAAACTATGTTGCCCAGTATGATATCCACTAGCCAAACATGGACACTTAGGTTTCAATTAATTAAAAGTTCAATTCCAGCTGGGTGCAGTGGCTCATGCTTATAATCCCAGCACTCTGGGATGGCAGAGGTAGGAGAACTGCTTGAGCCCAGGGGTTCAAGACCAGCCTGGAAAACACAATGAGAAACAACCCCGTCTTTCCAAAAAATAAAAAAATCAGCCAGGTGTAATGATGTGTGCTCATGATCCTAGCTACTGAGAAGGCTGAGATGGGAGGATTGCTTGAGCCCTGGAGGCGGAGGTTGCAGTGAGCCAAGGTTACGCTACTGCACTCCAGACTCCAGCCTGGGTGACAAAGTGGGACCTCATCTAAAAAAAACAAACAAAAAAAACTGTATCTATATAAACAATAACAACAACAACAAAAACATAAAAGTACAATCATTACAGAAAGTTCTATTGGGCAATCTGTCTCTAGAAGATTAAGGAAATAAGGGAAGCTTGCCTTTCAAAGATATTAGAGAAGATCTTGATCAAAATTCAACTGAATAAATTTTTGCCTTCAAACATTTAAACATTAGTTCAAATAATAACGTTGTCTTCTTCTACTTTTTGTGGAAAAGGATCCTGTACTCAGGAGGCTCAATGATGACTGGGCAGGTGCAGTGTCTTCCACCTGTAATCCCAGTGCTTTAGGAGGATCACCTGAGCCCAGGAGTTCAAGATCAGCCTGGGCAACACAGCGAGACCCCGTCACTACAAAAAAAATTTTTAAAAATTAGCTGGGGCCAGGTGCAGTGGCTCACGCCTGTAATCCCAGCACTTTGGGAGGCCGAGATGGGTGGATCACTTAAGGTCAGGAGTTTGAGACCAGCCTGGCCAACATAATGAAACTCCATCTCTACGAAAAATACAAAAATTAGCCAGGTGTGGTGGTGTGAGCCTGTAATCCCAGTTACTCAAGAAGCTGAGGCAGGAGAATTGTTTGAGCCCCAGAGGCAGAGGTTGTAGTGAGCTGAGATCGTACCATTGCACTCCAGTCTGGGCATCAGAGCAAGACTCTGTCATTAAAAAAAAAATAAAATAAAAAATAAAAATAAATAAATAAAAAGGGCCAGGCAGGGTGGCTGTGGCTCACTCCTGTAATCCCAGCACTTTGGGAAGCCAAGGTGGGTGGATCACGAGGTCAAGAGATCGAGACCATCCTGGCCAACATGGTGAAACCCTGTCTCTACTAAAAATACAAAAATTAGCCCAGCGTGGTGGTGCACGCCTGTACTCCCAGCTACTCGGGGGGCTGAGGCAGGAGAATCACTTGAACCCAGAGGTGGAGGTTACAGTGAGCCAAGATCGTGCCACTGCATCTAGCTTGGGCGACAGAGCGAGACTCCATCTCAAAACAAACAACAAAAATACAGAAACAAATAAATCTCAAAACAAATAAATAAATAAAAATACAAAAAAAGGCCCAGCACGGTGGCTCACGCCTGTAATCCCAGCACTTTCGGAGGCTGAGGCGGGCGGATCACAAGGTCAAGAGATCGAGACCATCCTGGCTAACACGGTGAAGCTGGGAGGCAAAGGTTGCAGTGAGCCAAAATTGCGCCACTGAATTTAGCTTGCGCGAAAGAGTGAAACTCCGTCTCAAAAAAAAAAAAAAGAGAAAAAGTAGACATTTGTCAGACACATTCCCGAGACAGAAGTCCCATGCCCCAAACCTGATGATGCAAACGGGAAAAAGCTAGCCACCAGTTCTATGACACCTACCTCGAAGTTCCCGTGGTTGCAGGAAAGAAGGCTGCCCCGGACTCCAATTCTGTTCAGCTATATTTAGTTGTGCCACATCTTGCTCAAGTCCACCTGTAGTAGAATCCACTGGAGCGTCCCAGTTCCCAGTCTTAGTAGGTGGAGTTGGGGTGGTTTCTGGGACTGGAGGTGCTGGGATCAGTCCTTCAGGAGGAGGGGGCACCTCCTCTGCAAGCTTGACTGCATCTCCAACTTTGGTTCGGGTTCTTCTTGCCCGGGAATAGGATTTCTTCTCAATGGGCCTGTCAGGGGCTGGTGGTGCAGTATCAGGAGCAGCAGCTGGTGTCTCTGAGGTTGCCTCTTCCTTCTCAGGACTGCCAAGCACTGGAACATCTGCTGCTTCTGGAGATGGATCCCTCACAGGAGTCTGCTCTAGGCGCCGTGACCGGTAACTAGTCTCATGCTTAACAGTCTCGCCAGACCGGCCACCATGCTGCCCCCCAGCTTCCATAGGCCTAAAACCAGCACGACCTTCCTTGAAGCCCCCAGATCGAGAATAATTCCTGGGTGCAGACATGCGGCCAGTACCTGCAGCATTTCTGTTAATAAATGTCCTTGGTGGTAGGGTACCCCCAAGACCCTGGTGGCGATGAGACTTGTTTAGCCGCTCACCATTCCAATTTGGATCTCTTTGTGGAGGACTCCCATATCTACAAAAAATGGAATGAAGAAACTGTTAAGAAATTAACAAAAGGAGGCTGGGCACGGTGGCTCAGGCCTGTAATCCCAGCACTTTGGGAGATCAAGAAAGACGGGCAGATCACTTGAGGCCAGGAGTTTGAGACCAGCCTGGCTAATACAGTGAAACCCCATTTCTACTAAAAATACAAAATTAGCTGATCGTGATGGTACATGCCTGTAATCCCAGCTACTGAGGAGGCTGAAGCAGGAGAATCACTCGAACCCGGGAGGTGGAGGTTGCAGTGAACCGAGAACATGCCACTGCACTCTTTATTTTGTCTCAAAATAAAGAAAGAAAGAAAGAAGGAAGGAGAGAAGAGGAAGAAAGAGAGAGAGAGAGAGAGAGACAGAAAGAAAGAAAGACAGACAGAGAGAGAGAGAAAGAAAAGCAAAGCAAGAGAGTTCTTTCTAAAATATATCTATAGTCTATGGTCTATTTTTTTTTTTTTTTCCTTTTTTTTTGGAGACAGGGTCTCACTATGTTCTCCAGGCTAGTCCTGAACTCCTGGCCTCAAGCAATCCTCCTGCCTCAGCCTCCCAAAGTGCTGGGATTCCAGGTGTAAGCCACTGTAAGCCACCATGCCTAGCCCAGTCTATGTTCTAAAATGCCTCACCGGGGTTTCCGGATTCTTCGGGGTTTGATGTCATCAGGATTGTGAGCTGAGCGAATGTCATAACCATAAAGAGCAATGAGCTCCTGTCGGGACTTTGGGGCCTGCTCATCTTCCCGGAACTTGTCATGCTCCCAGCGACCCTCATCCTTCCAAAGCTTTCGCTGACGCCCCTTGGGTCTGGATAAAATGAAGGAAAAGTGTCTTGGGTCAGCAGAATTCTCCAAGTAGAGATGTTCATGAACAAAACGGGTCAGGCAGGGGGACAATAGGAACTTCACGTAGTCTCATCATCCCAAAGAGATTATAAAAAACAGGCCTCCCCTAAGCAAGTGTGAATCACAGAACCTCAGAGCCTGCTGGGCTCAAATACAACAGACATAGAAATGAGAAAAGGACTTCATTTCATGCCATTCAGTACCTTTGAAAAACATCTCCTTTCTCCTAAAAAGCAGCCTATGCAAGTACTTCACTTCTCAGAGGCCTTACGCCTCAGATTAAGAAAAGAAAAAGTAGAATAATTAAGAGAAGATGAGTTCTGGAAACAGACTGCCCTAGGTCTGCATCTTAGCTGCCTCACCAAGAATTACCAAATATTCTAAGCCCACTTTCCTCATTTGTACAAGAAGGATAATCATAATACTTACCTTAAAATGCTTGTAATAAATGAAATACAGGCAAAGCATTTAGCAAAGTACCTGACCTACATGTCTAAAATACATGTTAGACAGCGGCAGCAGCAAGTGGCTTTTACCTGACTTCCTCCTCCTGAGTTTGCCCTCGAAGATCATGCTCAAAGAAGAGCCCTTTCCGAGGTATGTATGCTGGATTCTTCCGATCTTCATCATCATCCAAATGCTTAGGGCCCTTTTTACCCACTTTGTTCTCCACAGGTTCTGTGCTCTCCTAGAGGACAGATAAAGGGATCCTTACTCTTCCAGACTCAATAATCCCTATTCCAGCCTCTAAAATGGAGGACTGTGGAATGTACAGACCTGTCCGTCCCCACTTTGCCTCTCTCCAGTCACAGTGCCTTTGGTGTCAGGCTTTTCTTCTCCCTTCTCTTCTTTTGTTGAAGAATTAACAGCATCATTAGCTTCTGATTTCAGCTCCACTTTGGAGTTTTCCTCTTCACTGTATTCTCCTTCTTCACCCTGAAAAAAGTTTCCCTGTCAGTGACGCAAATAAGATCTGAACAGCATTTTAATTCCCACCTCGCCCCCCTCCCAGGATGGAGTCTCTGTCACTCAGGCTGGAATGCAGTGGTGCAATCTCGGCTCACTGCAACCTCTGCCTCCCAGGGTCAAGCAATTCTCCTGCCTCAGCCTCCAAAGTAGCTGGGATTACAGGCACCCACCACCACGCCTGGCTAATTTTTGTATGTTTAGTGGAGACCGGGTTTCACCATGTTGGCCAGGCTGGTCTCAAACTCCTGACTTCACGATCCGCCTGCCTTGGCCTCCTAAAGTGCTGGGTTTACAGGAGTGAGCCACCGTGCCCGGCTGCATTTCAATTTTCTGCTCTTTAGGAATACATTTATTGATTAAATTTTTAGTACAACACAGAACTGAAAAGCAAACAAATCAATATTCTTACCCATATTTCCAGAAGATAAAGATCCTATTTTGGCTGGGCACGGTGGCTGATGCCTGTAATCCCAACACTTTGGGAGGCCGAGGCAGGCAGATCACCTGAGATCAGGAGTGCGAGACCAACCTGGTCAGCATGGCAAAACCCCACCTCTACTAGAAATACAAAAATAAGCCACACATGGTGGCAGGCACCTGTAATCCCAGCTAACTGGGAGGCTAAAGCAGGAAAATCATTTGAACCAGGGAGGCAGAGGTTGCAGTGAGCAGAGACTGCACCACTGCACTTCAGCCTGGGCAACAGAGTAAGGCTCTGTTGCAAAAAATAATAATAATAAAAAAAACACTATTTTTAAAAATCACATTAAAAAAATACACACATACACACATATATATCCACATAGGTTTTCCTGGAACACATGCAAGAATTATTAAAAGTGGCAGGCTGGGTGCAGTGGCTTACACCTATAATCCCAGCACTTTGGGAGGCTGAGGCGGGAGGATCACTTGAGGTCAGGAGTTCGTGGCCAGCCTGGTCAACATGGCAAAACCCTGTCTCTACTAAAAATACAAAAATTAGCCGGGAGGCAGGAGGCTGCAGTGAGCCAAGATTGTGCCACTGCATTCCAGCCTGGGTGACAAGAGCAAAACACCGTCTCAAAAAAACAAAACAGGCCGGGCATGGTGGCTCACACCTGTAACCCCAGCACTTTGGGAGGCCGAGGTGGGCGGATCACAAGGTCAGGAGATCGAGACCACGGTGAAACCCCATCTCTACTAAAAATACAAAAAATTAGCCGGGCGCAGAGGCGGGTGTCTGTAGTCCCAGCTACTCAGGAGGCTGAGGCAGGAGAATGGTGAGAACCCGGGAGGCGGAGCTTGCAGTGAGCTGAGACGGTGCCACTGCACTCCAGCCTGGGTGACACAGCAAGACTCTGTCTCAAAAAAAAAAAAAACAAAAAACCAGCAGCAGCCTCTAACAGGCCCAGAGGATAAGAATGGAAGGGAGACTTACTATACAATACCTAACATATAAGAGGAGCTTAATCTTTTTGATAATTTCTATCTCCATGAATCATCTTTTTTGAGACAAGGTCTTGCTCTGTTGCCCAGGAGTGCAGTGGCACAATCATGGCTTACTGCAATCTCAATCTCCTGGGCTCAAGTGATGTTCCCACCTCAGCCTCCGAAGTAGCTGCGACTACAGGCACATGCCACCACACCTGGCTGATTTTTTTTATTTTTATTTTTAGTAGAGACGAGGTCTCACTAGGTTGCCTAGGCAGTTCTTGAACTCCTGAGCTCAAGCAATCCTCCCTTGGCCTCCCAAAGTGCTGTTGATTACAGGCATGAACACTGTACCTGACCTACGAATTGTCTCTTAAATATGCACTGCGTAGTAACTACACTTTGTCTTAAGTTGTGAACTCTCCCATCTCAAAATGGCTTACAGCAGAAATTCCCAACCTTTTTGATTATGTGGACCCCTTTTTAAGATCTAAAAGTTTTCATGGATCCCCACGAGATATTCACTGAGAAAACATGCAATGACAAACAACTGCCAGGTTGGATGTAGTGGTTCATGCCTGTAATCCCAACACTCTGGGAGGCCGAGGCAGGTGGATCACTCGAGGTCAGGAGTTTAAGACCAGCCTGGTCGGCCGGGCACGGTGGCTCAAGCTTGTAATCCCAGCACTTTGGGAGGCCGAGACGGGTGGATCACGAGGTCAGGAGATCGAGACCATCCTGGCGAACACCGTGAAACCCCGTCTCTACTAAAAAAATACAAAAAACTAGCCGGGCGAGGTGGCGGGCGCCTGTAGTCCCAGCTACTCGGGAGGCTGAGGCAGGAGAATGGCGTAAACCTGGGAGGCGGAGCTTGCAGTGAGCTGAGATCCGGCCACTGCACTCCAGCCCGGGCTACAGAGCGAGACTCCGCCTCAAAAAAAAAAAAAAAAGACCAGCCTGGTCAACATGGTGAAACCTTGTCTCTACTAAAAATACAAAAATTAGCCAGACATGGTGGCATGAACCTGTAATCCCAGCTATTTGGGAGGCTGAGGCAAGAGTATTGCTTAAACCCAGGAGGTGGAGGTTGCAGTGAGCCAAGATAGCACCACTGCATACCAGCCTGGGTGAAAGAGTGAGACCCTGTCAAAAAAAAAAATTCACCAGGAGTGGTGGCGTGCGCCTGTAGTCCCAGTAACTTGGGAGGCTGAGGTGTGAGATCATTTCAGCCCAGGAGGTAGAGGTTGCAGTGAGCCATAATTGTGCCACTGCACTCCAGCCTGAGCAACAGGGCGAGACCCTGTCTCCAAAAAAAGAAAACCAACCAACCAAACAAAAAAACCAAAACACAACAAATTGATGTGTGCCTGTAGTCCCAGCTACTCGGAAGGCTGAGGGAGGAGCATCACTTTAACCTGGGAGGCAGAGGTTGCAGCGAACCAAGATCGCCCCACTGCACTCCAGCCTGTGCAGCAGAGACGGTCTCAAAAACAAACAAAAAACAACAAACTGTTATACATTCAGTAACACTTTAAGTTTACATTTTATTAATTTACATATATTCAAAAATAGTAATACATAAGGGGGGAGATGTATATTTTAGTCTATAGATAACGAGAACTGAATGAGTAGATGTGCAAACTCTTTTTTGAGACAGGGTCTCACTCTGTCGCCCAGGCTGGAGTGCAGTGGCGTGATCTCAACTGACTATAGCCTTGACCTCCTGGGCTCAAGTAATCCTCCCACCTCAGCCCCCACAAGTAGCTGGGACTACAGATGTACACCACCATGCCCAACTAATTTTTGTATTTTTTTGTAGAGACAAGAGTTTCACCACATTACCCAGGCTGGCCTCAAACTTCTGAGCTCAAGCGAACCTCCTGCCTCAGCCTCCCAAAGTGCTAGGATTACAGGCATGAGCCACTGTGCCCAATCAGATGTGCAAACTTTTGATAATGACTCTATGATTTCCCAATGCGCTGTTATCCTCAAATTGGAAAATAGTAGCTTACATTTTTTGATGCCTATGAGTACTAGTTTTCTGCAGCAGGAAATTCCTGCAGTCAGAAACTATCCAGAATCACATAATTACAAAAATTTGACCTAAAAAACCTTAGAGGACAACTTGTACAACCATCGCATTTCAGAAACGAAAAACATTAGTCCAAGTGCTCTCTCTCTCTCTTTCCTTTTTACTATCTTCTTCCCTCTTTTACCACATGAAGATTGGGTAACACTGTTCATGACAGAGAAAGTGCTGGGTCTACACACAAAGGATCATTAGGCCATTAGAAAGGGCCAGGAAATGGATGTGTGGCTAGTTCTAGGTAGGAAAAGGCAGCAGCTAAGGCTCATGACAAGGGAACTGGCTTTAGAGTAGGGTTACTCTCCTCTCCTTGTCCTCCCCAGACTTGGACCTAAGGAGGCAGAGCTATGGCTAGGGAGGCCTATGAGAACACAGAGAAATGGTTTCAAGGAAAGGTGGTGGTGTCCTCATTGATGGGTTACATCTGAAACCTGGTAGATGTATGTATACTGGTCTCTCACTCTCCTACTGGGTCTGATACTTGACCTGAACCAGACTGCCCTGTCACTCAAGACTCAGGTTGGCCCCAATAATCTGGTCAAAGAGGCTCAATGTGGGATTCCTGAATTCCTGATTGAGAAGCTCTCAAACTCTAAGTTTCTGCGCCATCTTTTCAAATAGAGCTGAGTCAGCCTGATTGGCCCAGACAAGCCAATTAATCCCTCTTCCTCGTTTTTCCCTGCTCAGCATCTGGGTATAGTTGACCCTCGAACAAGGGGTTTGAACCACTCAGGTCCACTTCTACGCAAATTTTTTTCAATAAAAGTTACAGCAAGTAATGCCTGCCTCTCCTTCCACTGCCTCTGTCACCCAAGGCAGCAAGATCAACCCCTCCTCTTCTGAAGTCTACTCAACACAAAGATGATGAAGACCTTTATGATGATCCACTTCCACTGAATAATATGTTTCCTTAATAGTGAATATGATTTCTTAATAACACTTTCTTTTCTCTAGCTTACTTATTGTAAGAGTACAGTACACAATAGACATACAAAATACGTATTCACTGACTGTTTATGTTATTGGTAAGGCTTCCAGTTGACTTAGTAGTTGGGGGGAGTCAAAAATTATACTTGGAATTCTTACTGCACAGGGATATGTGTCCTTTATATTCTATTTATTATTTATTTATTTTGGAGACAGAGTCTTGCTCTGTCGCCCAGGCTGTAGTGCAATGGCACGATCTCAGCTCACTGCAACCTCCACCTCCTGGGTTCAAGCAATTTTTATGCCTCAGCCTCCTGAGTAGTGGGGACTACAGGTGTGCGCCACCACTCCTGGCCAATTTTTGTACTTTAGTAGAGACAGGGTTTCACCATGTTGCCCAGGCTGGTCTCAAAGTCCCGAGCTCAGGCAAGCCACCCACCTCGGCCTCCTGAGGTGCTGGGATTACAGACGTGAGCCACCACACCCAGACCCCCCCCTTTTTTTTTTTTAACAGATGGGGTCTCGCTGTATCATTCAGGGTAGA